TGGAAGAGGTAACTATGGGGAGGAAGTGGGAGGGGAGCTGTTGCATTGTAAACTGTGGTCAATGACATGAGACAAAATATATGTGAACTGCTGTATGGAAAGTGAATTCGCTCTGTAAATCTTCACCCAAATCACAATAAATAAAATTAAATTAAATTAAAAAAAAAAAATCAAAAAATCAAAAGAATACAGCTATACAAAATTCCAATTTCAGTGTCCATTTTAAAGGCTTGAGTTTTATTGAACATGTTACTTTATACATTGTCTATGGCTACTTTTGTCTTACAACACAAATAAGATACAATAGGGATATCCAGTCTGTGAAGCCTAAATAACCTATTGTCTGCTCTTTCTAGAAAGCATTCACTGATCCTGATGTAAGTCTTGCTCCATCCTATAAGGATGAGGTCTTTACCCAGACAGCAGCGACTCAATGGGTGAGACCTTTAGAGAGGCTTCCGAGTTTTGGGGAACCATCACTAGGTGGTTCAGGGAGTCCTTGGATGGTGAGATGCCCCAAAAGAAAGGCCTGGTGATCTACTTCTAACATGTCACAGCATTGAGAACCCAATGCAGCACAGCTCAACTCTGGCACACATGGGGTTGCCATGAGTCTGAGTCAACAGCAAGTGGTTCGCTTTGGTCATCACATTTGGTGGTAGAATTCTCACCTTCCGTGAAGGGGATCTGGGTTCGATTCCCAGCCAATGCACCTGCTGCACAGCCACCACCCATCTGTCAGTGGAGGTCTGTGTATTGCTGTGATGCTGCACAGGTTTCAGCAGAGCTCCAGATTAAGATGGACTAAGAGGAAAGGACTGACAACCTACTTCTGAAAATCAGCCAATGAAATGCTACAGATCACAACTATCCTAGCCATTGTGCATGAAGTCGCCATGAGTTGAGGGCCTAAGTCGAAGGCAGCTCAAAATAACAACTTGGGTTTTGCATGAAATGAAACAGCTGCACTCACCACACATTAAGCACTCATGGACTCACTCACCATGGAGCCTTCACCATTCCACTTGTCCCCCATCACTGGGTCACACACTGCAGAGACAAAAAGGCATTTTATCAGCAAAGCAGCCAGCAAGTAATGAACCTTGACATTTTTCTTCAATTCCTTGTACATATTAATGTACAACTAAAAGCCTAACAGGAAGCACTGTCTCCCATTCTCATCCTTCATCCTGTTATGCAGCATTTCACACCTCGTTGTCCAAGATGACTAAGTGCTTTGGTTAATTTCTATTTATCACCGTTACACATCTCTCCTGAGTGTGACTCAAGAACATGGCCATGTGCACAGCCAGCTACCCAGAGGGAGCAAGTAGTTGGACTTGTGGGCTTGGGACCATAGCTGCAGGGGACATTAAACTCAATTGGCATAATATACTACACAAAACATTGTTCCACCTCCTACTTTGGTGGTGAGTAGTGACTGGGATCTTAAAAGCTTACAAGCAGCCATCTAGATGCAATGATGGGTCTCTCCTCATCAAGAACAAAAACGAATGACGAAAACCAAAGACACATGGAAACAATTACTCTAAGTAACTGGTACACCATGCAATCCTCAGCCTGTATAACTATGAGACCAGAAGAACTAGATGGTGCCTCACTACCAATGTCAACTGCTCAGAGGGGGATCTATGTAGGAGATCCTGAATAGAGTGGGAGCACAATATGGAACAAAACTCAAAATCATTAAAAAAAAAAAAAAAGGGGACCAGGTTTGCTGGTCTGATAGAGCCTGGTGAAACCACTGAGACTATGGCCCCTAGCTGGCCTTCAGGTCTGGAATTGAACCCATTCCCGTGGCTTCTAGCCAAATAAAAGACAGGTATATGAGGTAACATTTACAGTAGGTAGATACACTCCTTGGAGAGACCAATCATGGGAGAGTAGAAGGGCTCTGTATGCACAGGGACACAGCTCAGTGGGTGCAGGAATGCATGGGAGGGAAGGACACAGGGAAGACATAATTATGGGGAGGAAGTGAGAGGGGATCTGTCGTATTGTGGGAAATTGCAGTCAATGTCACGAGACAAAGTGTATGTGAGCTGCTGTATGGAAAGTGAATTTCCTCTGTAAACTTTCACCCAAATCACAATAAAAATTAAAAAAAAAAAAGAAACAAACATGGCCATGTGTCCCCCAGGCAGGCACAGTCTGCTCACTCTCACAAGCCTGTTCCAGGGCAGTGGTCACAACGTGATCAGGCAGTATATCCTTTTTCAGGCATGTGTTAGGCCAGGAAGGTCTGAGGACCATGTGAGCATCTGAGATTCCAGAGTCTCTGAGAAAGAAGCCTCAATCATGGAGTGGGGGCTGGTCTGCAATGCTTTCTCCGGGGTGACAAAAGGAGATGCAGTGCTATTGGGTCCTCTGAGGGAAGGGCACAAACACAACAGACCCAAGACATGGCCCTGTCCTGATAGCCAGGGGCACACCTGGGCATTCACATTCCCACCTGGACTTGGGTAGGGGGTTACACTGGCTGCTGGACGACCCTTCAGAGCCAGGTTACACAGGCCTTATCCCAGGGAGTAACAGGTATAGCTCTCTTATCCAATGAACCCTGTGGCAGTGGGACACCTGTGGCCTGGTGCTGCTGCTGCCCAGTAGGTCAGACAGGCCTGCTGTGGACCTCAGGTCTGCACTTGCTGTGTGCTCTGCCTGGGGTGTCATCCCCACCCTACTCTCTAGGGCCAGTGGTGGTTACACACTTCACAGCTACAGGGTCTGGGCCATCCCAGGCCTTAAAATACTGACATTATTGACATTACACCAGGTTCACTGACAATGACCTAACCCCTTCCCCCTCTAGGATCTTGAAGAGTCATGTCCTTGGGTCCCAGAAGACACACAGCTGGTGGCTGGGGGAGGTGAAACATGGGAGAGGCCCCACAAGAGAAGTTTGGGCTGCCCAGCGCAGGGCTCCAAGTCATCCCACACCAGCACTGAAAGCAGTCACTGGGCCCGGCGTTGGTAACTGGCGGTGCCTACCGTACACGAGGCTGGAGTTTTGCTGCTTCAGCTCCCGCACGATGTCCACCACCATGGCCAGGAAGGACGCATCCCGGGTGTAACCTGTGGGGGAGACCCAGTTACACTCACACAATGGGACGTTCACACCAGCCAACCATGACAGAAAAGAGAAAAGTGCCCATCAGAACCATCTAACCCAGAGGTGCTGAGGGCTGGTCTCAGATCTTTTGACAAAGACCATGTTCCCATGTGTAGTCACTGAGGGGGAGCAGACATGTCCCAAAAACGAGTGTATGGTTTAAATGAAAGGAAAAAGTGGTAGGTGGTAGAAGTACGAATGATTTTTTTTTTCCTTTTTTCTATACTTTCCATTTTCAGTAATAATCACGTCACACTTGTAATTATGTTGTTGTTGTTATGTACCGTCGAGTTGGACCCGACTCATAGTGACCCCTCCTTGGGTTTCCAAGGCAGTATCACTATGGAAGTATATTGTCCAACCTTCCTTCCGATTGTAATTATATATAAAAATACAAATCAGCTTTATTTTTACCATGTATGTAGTTTAGGAGTCCCTGTGTACTGGAAACAACTAAGCATTCAACTAGGAGCTCTGGTAGCACAGTGCCTAAGGCATTTGACTGCTAACCAGAAGGCTGGTGGTTCAAACCCACCAGCCACTCCTTGGAAGAAAGATTGGGTGATCTACTTCCATAGTGATACCGCCTCAGAAACCCAAGGAGGGGTTGCTATGAGTGGGATCTGACTCAATGGCAGTGAGTTTGGTTTGTTTTTTGAAGCACTCAACTGCTAACTAAAAGGCTGGAGGTCTGAATACACCCAGAGGTGTCTCCAAAGAAAGGCCTGGAGCTCTATTGCTGAAAAATCAGCCACTGAAAATCCCATGGAGCCAGTTCTACTGTAATACACATGGGGGGTCACCATGAGTTGGAAGTGAGTTGAGATGGCAACCAGTTTTGGTATGTAGTTTATAAATGAAACCAGTGCAATAGGTGATAGTGTGTGGTTTACTTCTGTGTTTTCATCTCCCACCCTTCCCACCCCAGGACCTCCCCAACACCCTACCTGTCCCTCCAACAGGCGATGAAACCCCAGTGTGGCCCCAGGGGTGGCAGTGACTTGGTACAGCCCAGGACAGTCACTGGATCCCCAAGGCTACTGAAGTATGATAGTCCCTTGGGAACCAGTGAGTTCTGGAGATATGCTCCCATCCCTGCCTGAAGGGCCTACAGGGTGCAATCCGGTGGTTTGGAGGGTGCTCTAGTGCCCTCCCAATTCCCAACTTGGCTGTAGCCAGGTCCACAGGCTCCCTGCACCACACTCCCTCTGGGCCCTTACCTGTGAGCACGTAGTCATACTTATTCACATTGTTCAGCTGGAGGCCTTCGTACAATTCGTGTAGCTCATCGGAGTTCAGTACTTGACCTTTCCAGTGGGTGTAGCCTGGGGGAAGAGCAGGGCACTCAGGACTTCCATATGGGCATGTGGTGAATGCAGTTTAAGCTCAACAGAGGGGATTCCCTGACAGCTTCCCTGACAGCAGGCGTGTGCCAGCCACAGACAACACCTAAGGGGTAAATCCTCACCCTGTGGGCTACCGCAGGCCTGAATGAGGTCACTGGAGAACAGGGCTGGCAAAAGCTCACTGTCTGTCTGTCTACCTATCTGTGCCCACAAGCCTCAAAGCCTCATATGAGAGTACATGTGGCACATGTTTTTCTGGGGTCACTACTTCTACTGGCATCAGGAATCCCCAAGGTGCCCATCACCAGACCCTTCTGAAATGACTCAAATGTAATCAGGATAGTGAGCTCCTGGGCCAGCCAACACCACCAATGGAAATATATTACATTTACTGGGTGTGGAGCATGGGTACATTTAAGGACACCCATCTCTAGTAAGCATGTCATAGTTCTGCCACGCTGGACAGCCATTTATACCTGGGCACCACCTGTTCCCCCCCCCCCCACCCAAAGTTATCCTGTTACAAGGAAAGCAAGTTTTCCATCCAATCCCAACAGAACCCAACATGGACCAGAAAATGCCCAATTTAGGTGTGCACCATGCCCTGGGCCCCAATAGGTCCTGGTGACATGGTCCCCCTAAGACAGACAGACATGTTGGTATCCAGGCAGCAGAATCCCCAAGGTGAGTGAAGCTCTACATATGCAGGGTGCCCCATTTGGCACCAGTTGGGAAGGGCAGGCCAAGTTACACCAGGTGGGGCTATACCATGGATACTTTGGGTTTTACCCGTGAAAAACCAGTTCCAACGTCGCTGATGCCATGAATCCCTCCAACATAGGCACCTCCAAGCTTTTACATACAGACCTCTGGAGGATGACTTTGATGTGCACACTGCAAGGATTAACTGTGATGGATTGAATTGTGTTCCCCCAAAAGTATGCGGAAGTCCTAACCCCTATGAATGTGGCCCTGCTTGGAAATAGGGGTTTTCTTCTATTCTGTTAACGGAGTCAGACTGCAGTAGTGTGGGTCCTAAACCTAAATCCCTTCTGAGTGATGTCATAAAAAGCAGAATAGACACAGAGACATACACAGAGGGAAGAAAGATGCAAGAAATGCCTGGAGCTACAGAAGCTTGAAGACATAAGTGTCTTCCCCCAGAGCAAACAGAGACAAGCAGCCCCAGGCCTTCCTGAGGTAAAACCTGCCTGGCCACCATCATAGACAGACCAGGACCAGAAGGAATAGGACTCTTGGCCTTCACTCACCTAGCTAACCCATGGGTGAGTCAGCTTCATTAGACACATACAGACCTCCAGAGGTCTGTATGCGGAAGTCTACATTCTAACCTTGCTGAAGCCCTGAAGTCAGACTCCTAGCCTCCAGAATTGGGAGACAATTAATTTCTGTTCTTTAAAGCCTATGGTATGTATTGCTGCTATGGCAGCCCTAGGAGACTGAGACTTGAACTAAGACACACTTCTACCCATCTTGTTGTTGTTGTTGGTATGAGCCGTCGAGTCAGATACGACTCATAGCGACCCCCTCCTTGGGTTTCCGAGGCAGTATTACTACAGAAGTAGATTGTCCCATCTTCCTTCTGAGGAGTGGCTGCTAAAGGGGCAAGGAGATCGCATCTTCTGACCTCCTCTAACCCCACAAGAGGAAGACAGAATCACCAACAATAGCCCAAGGCCTATTCCTGCAAGGCCAGACATGCTGCCTCCCTCCAGCCCTTTCATCAATCCTGACACCAACCGTTTCTGCTGCAGTACCCACCCCCTTTGTGCTGGGTTTAATAATTCGCTGCAGTGGTCACACAGAACTCACAGATTATGGGGTTTAATAGGGAAGCACCGGGCTACAATTCAAGTTCAGGAACAACGCTCAGTCTCTCTCAGCCTGCCATCTATCAGCCAACAGTCTCTCACAGTTTCTCTCCCAGCTGTGCATGTCTCTCGGTGTCTCTCTCAGTAATGTGTGTCTCTTGTGGCTCTTTCCCAGCGGTGCATGTCTCTCAGGAATATGTGTCTCTCAGGAGTGTGTTTCTCTCAGGAGGACATTTCTCTCAGCAGCACATCCTTCTCAGCCAGCAGTCAGAGAAACTCCTACATCTAGGAGGCCTCCTTTTTTTTTTTTTTTTATTAGGATTTGGGTGAAGATTTACAGAGTAAATTCACTTTTCATACAGCAGTTCACATATACTTTGTCTCATGTCATTGACCAAAATTTACAATGCAGCAGCTCCCCTCCCACTTCCTCCCCATAGTTACCTCCTCCCAGTGTCCATCCCTTCATACTCTTCTGCACCCTGAGAGGCCCATTGTCTGCCAACCCTGTATATGATCTTGGATACACTCTAGGAGGCCTCCTTTTGAGCTTGGCAGAGTGGCCAGACTAACCAATCATAACATCAGAATTCTAAGCACCTGAGAGAGAGCAAACTTCCTAGAACATTGCTTTGTGCCACTCCCAACAGAAATACCCAGGTGGATAACATTTACAATCAGGAGCTCCTCAGTTGCTCATGGCAAATTCCACCACTGAGTTTACAAAGACTTATGGCTAGAAAAGCCATACCAGGTAATTTACTACACCGCAACGGGTTTTCCCTCAGAGGCTGTGCAGGCTGGAAGGAGATGGAGCCATGGTTCTTGTTAGGCATGGGGGGGCTCCCAGCAAGGCTAGGCCTGTACTTATTGAGGGCCGCCTCCCAAAGGGAAAGGATCCTGTTGAAGGAATGGTCTACAACTAGTGCCAAAGGCATCTGACCATTTGACTGCTAACCAGAAGGCTGGTGGTTCAAACCCACCAGCCACTCCTCAGAAGGAAGGTTGGGCAATCTACTTCGTAATGGTACTGCCTCAGAAACCCAAGGAGGGGTCACTATGAGTCAGATCTGACTCGACGGTAGTGAGTTTGGTTTTTTGGTTTGGTGTGCCTCCCATCCAGGCTGCCTAAGTAAAGGCCTTGGGCCCAGAACATTCTCTGATAAGGAGGCTGGGATTTGGGTCACCTTCTCTCCCAGTTCCTTCTCCTTATCAGGGAAGTCTTCTCCCTGGTTCTAGACACACAGTAACTTTCTCTGTCTCTTGCATAAGCGTGGGCACCATATTGCACCTGGCCAAGTCCACTTCTGTATCTGCTCCTGGCAGGGAGGACACAGGGTCTCTTCACTATAGTACAAGACATCTGCCCTGTACCAGCCATGTGCAGGCTGAGCCTGTAGGCCACAAGAGACCACCACCCACTAGTAAAACTGATCTCATGCAGTCTCTTGTCTATGTGAGTAACATTTTTCCCATGCACTGAGTGTGTGTGTGGTTTTCTGCTGGCGATTATAGATCCTGTCATGACAGATCCATTGCCGCTCCATCCCTGAGACCTCATGAAGCAGTGTGGCTGGAACAAATACTCATGAACAGCAAAGGTCCCAGCCTCAAGGGCCATGGGCTGGTGGGGTGCCCCCATGTGTTCTGCAGTAGGACCTCCGCACACATGAGAAGTGGACTCATCCATGGGTTAGCTGGGTGAGCAAAGGCCAAGAGTCCTCTGGTCCTGGCCTGTCTGTGATGGTGCACAGGCAGGTTTAACCTCAGAAAGGCCTGTGGCTTTGACTGCAGGTGGTCTGGGGGTTGGGAGGAATGGTTCTTTCTGCTCCTTGGATTTCTAAACATTCTTCCAACAGGGTGGGGCTTAATTCAATTGCAGGTGCCAAGAAATAAGGTGAGAGGGCCAGCACCTTCTGAGGGCAGAGCTCTGTACCCTCCCCTTTCCTAATCATACAAGGGGAGGTTCAGGCCCCATACCCCATACCCCATACCATCCTGTTGTCCAGCCACACCTCCCTCATGATTCATGATGGCCCAGAGCTCACACATACCTTTTGGGATAGAAAAGGGATGAAGTCAGAGCCTCTGACTGACTATTCCACTTACTGATGGAAACACAGAGTACAAACAGGTTGAGAGAGTTACTCTGAGGGACACAGCTGCACTCTACCTCTTCTCACTCACCAGAGAGTCCTAGTCCAGCTGTCTCCCTTGCCGCTTACCCATCACTCCATCCTAGTCCCCAGCTGTGTCAACCCTCTGCACCATGAGACCCCATGTCCACCTCCCCACCCTCCCCAGGGGCTGCCACCTGCCCCACCCATCACTGGACCTGTCTGCCCAACTGCCAGCCCAGTTTGGTTTATGCTTCTTCTGGAACCTCCCAGGGCTAGAAACCTTGGGCCATAGTAAGCTTGAGGAGTAACGGAAGAACACTGGCCAGGGCAGGGGCAGACCCCTTCAAAGCTGGCGCTGCCCTGCAAGGAAGGCCATAGGGAACAGCTCTGAGGTGGAAAAGGAACAGAGAGAGATGATCTTGCCCACCTGAGGGGGGGGGCTATAAGAGTGGGCAGAGGCGATGTGAAGAAGAGCTCACATGGCAGGCCAGACCTTTGCCCTTAGAAAGGTCTGTGTGCATGGCTGGTCCTGGGCTGGACTCTGGAAACTTGCATTTAGGAGGGTTTTCACCATGTACTGATAAACAAGGTTCACTGTCCCTAAACTGTTTAGGCTATCCCTGCTTTCCTTCATGAAATTGTGGTACATGCCACACAGAGGATACCTCTCTGGCCAGCCCCAATAAAAAATCCTGGGCACTGGATCTCTAATGAGCTGCTCTGGTAGACAACACTTCACTTGTGTTGTCAAAAGTCATTGCTGGAGAATTAAGTACCTCCTGTGTGTCTCCACAGGGAGAAGACCCTGGTTGCTTATGTCCCCCAGACTCCTCCCTCCCCACTTGTCTTTTCCCTTTGCTGATTTTGATTTGTGTGCTTTTGCTGTAATAAATCACAGCTGTAAGTATGGCTCTCTGCTGAGTCCTGGGAGTTTTCTAGCAAATCCGGAACCGGGGACAGGTAGGGATTAGGGACCCGGACACAGGGGGAGTCCTGCCTCAGGAGCACCAAGGCTACCTGGGCTCATGATAATGTTTCTCCAGCTTGTGTCAGTTTCCAGAACTTCCCGACCCCAAGCCTTACTCACCTTTCATGATTAATCTAGACCCTTCCAAACCACAGTGTGGTTCCACGACCTGCAACATCAGCATCATCTAGGGCTTTGCCAAAGTGCAGATTCCTGTTGTTGTGGGCCATCAAGTTGACCCCAACTCAGAGCAACCCTACAGAATAGAGCAGAACTATCCTCATAGGGTCCCCTAGGCTGCAGGCAGAATATCAGGTCTTTTCTTCTGCAGAACTGCTGGTGGGTTCAAACCGCTAACCTTTCAGTTAGCAGCTGAGTGCTTAACCATTGCCCCACTAGGCTCCTTGTGCAGATTCTAGGACCTCAGAAATCTGAGTTTTAACAAGTCCTTTGGATTATACATATACACATATTTGAAGAACACTGATCTAAAACAAAAACCAAAGTCAAACTCACTGTCATAGAGTCCATTCCAACTCATAGTGACCCTTTAGGACAGAGTAGAATTGCCCCAAAGAGTTTCCAAGGCTATAAATCTTTACTGAAGCAGACTGCCCCATCTTTCTCCCACAGAGCAGTTGGTGGGTTCGAACTGCCAACCTTTTGGTTAGCAGCCTAATGCTTTAACCAGAGCTCATTGATCTAAAACAGGGTTCAGCAAATCACAGCCTGTGCATCAAATCTGGCCCACCACCTATTTCTGTACAGCCTATTAGCTAAGAATAGACTTTATATTTTTAAATGATAAAAAAAGTAATATTTTGTGACATGTGAAAATTATATGAATCCAAATTTCATTGCCCACAAATGAAGTTTAAGTTTTATTATAACACAGCCATGCTCATTCCTCTACAGTTTGTCTATGGAGGCCTTTTTTTTTTTTTTTAAATTTTTTGGGGACCCAATTCAATACATAACAGACACTAAGGAAAACTGTAGAGATCTTTTTATATTATCAACTGATTGCTTCTATATTTCCTTCTAAAATATATGAACCTAAACCTGGCCAGAAAACAATCCACCTCACTACAGAGGAATCAGGTTACCAGCAAACACTTTCTGGAGCCTCCTCAATGTGTCTATGGCTGCTTTAGCGCTGCAACTGTATGAAAGTTGCAGAGCCTAAAGTATTTACTATCTGGTCCTGTCTAGACCAGACAGTAAGTGTGCTGACCCTGCTCTAGAACACTTGCTCACCCAGGAATACAGACTCTAGCTTCAGACTTAAATGTGATTTCTGGTCAATGTGGGACAAGGTACTCAACATCATGAGCCTTCAGGGAGATGCAAATCAAAACCAGAAATGTGGTACCACCTCACACCCACTGGGATGGCTACTAATGCTGAATGGAGAACCCTTTATCTCTCAGACTCCCAACATGGCAAGAGCACCACCAACTGAGAAGGTTCAAGGGGAGCCTAGAGGACAGCCAGTTCCAACTCACCCAAGGACACCGACCTGTAGCCCCAGGGCCCCCAAGTCCTGGAATGTGAGGGTAATGGGCAGCGGAGTCTGTGCTGGGTGTGTTTATATTGAACAAATGCTGATTACAGCACAGCACGACGTTCAGAAAGAAATATGATTCCATCATTAAATGTCCAAGCCAGTTTGGCTCATGTATGTAAAAAAAGGAGTAGGGTGGTCCAATGGGAGCTTTGGTAGCATAGTGCCTAAGGCACTGGACTGCTAACCAGAGGGCTGGCGGTTCAAACCCACCAGCAACTCCTTGAAAGGAAAATGGGGCAATCTACTTCCGTAGTGATACTGCCTTGAAAACCCAAGGAGGGGTCCGACTTGATGGCAATAACAACAACAGGGTGGTCCAAACAACCATGATAATACTGGATTCAGGGAAGCTCAGTGGATCAACAAGCTTCTTGGGATGCTTCCTTACCTTAGCGTGCACCACACCCACACCAAAGCCAAAGCAGGCAAGGGCTTTTAATAAGAAGTATAGACTTTTCTGCTGAATCTGGCAAGTCATTCTTCCCTCTCAATTTATAATTTATAATCCCTCTGCCACTAAAAAAATTCACACCCCAGAGAATTGAACAACATCTCTGTGAGTAAGCCCAGACGAGACACCCTCCCAAAACTTGCTGGCGCTCAACCAGGGTGCCTCCTGAACGTGCCATATTCTCACAATTACTCTAGGTGCAAAGTAATTCAGAAGTTACAATGTGGGCTGTGTTAGAGAATTGAGCAGCTTTATTTTCCTGCCACCACAACAGAGTGGTAGAGTGGGGCAGAGTGAGCCCACATCCTGCTGGCTTGACAGCATGGGGTCAATAGGCAGGCAGACAGCAGGCTAGGGGAGTACCAGGTTGTCATGGACCTTATCTCAGACAAGTTTTTCCACGGGCAGGGACCTTCTCATGCCCTATGGCCCAGTATTTTCACTCCAAGGCTTCTATGCCCAAGGACGTGGAGTCCAAGTGAGCAGGTCCTCTCTGTCACTGGGTTTTTGTTTTTGTTTATCCCCAATTTAAGTTTTTTATGATTTTATTAGAAAGCAAAAACTGCATGGTATGATTTCTGATAGGCCACTTGAGAATGACGTTTGCATCACCCATTCATTTTCCTTTAATCCATTCATTTTCAAAAACATTTTTCACACATATAATTTAGTGATATTAATTATGCTCATCACGTTGTGCTACCATCACCACTATCCCTTTCCAAATTCTCCTAACACCCTTAAAAGAAACTCAGTGCCCCGTAAGCAATACTTCCCCATTTCCTCCTCTCCCCAGTCCCTGGTAACCACTAATACACTTTTGTCTCTATGGATTTGTCTATTCTAAACATTTCATGTAAGTGGAAACACACATATTTGGCCTTTTATGTTTGCCTTATTCTAGTCAGCACGATGTCTTCAAGGTTCATTCACATTGTAGAATGTATCAGAATTCCATTTCTCTTTATGACAGAATAATATTCCACTGTATGGATACACCACATTTTGTTTGTCTATTCATCTGTTGGGTTGTTTCCAACTTTTGGCTATTACGAATAGAGCTGCAGTGAACAATAGTGTACTGTTTGAGTCCCTGCTTTTAAGACTTTTGGGTATATACCTAGGAGTGGAACTGCTAGATCATAAGGTAATTCTATGCTTAACTTTTTTAGGCACTGGCTTCTAATAGAGGGCATGAGAAACTACCATGTGCCTTGGCAGGATGTTCACAGGTGGGACTTCCTCCCATGTCACATGTCACATGGTGGACCACAGGGTAACAATAAGTACCCTGTGGGTTTGTTCTGAGCCAGGCACCAGTCCAAACACTTTACTTAATGTGTCTACTTACTTTTCACCACCCTAGATGAGGTGCTGGGATCACCAACATCATTTTACATGGGAGAAAATGAATCACCAAGAGGTTACGTCACCTGCTTCAGGTTATGCAGCTACAAGTAGCTGGAATTCAAATGCAAGCAGTCTGTACTTGAAGATGAGTGTTATGGACTGAACTATGCCCCTAAAAAAGATAAAGTTCTAACCCTCCTTGAATGTGACCTGGTTGGGGAAATATCGTCTTTGAAGACATTACCAGTTAATATGAGGTCATACTGGAATAGGGTGGGTTCTCATCCAATTTGAGTGGCATCTTTGTAAGAGACATAAAGACAGGGAGACAGAGGAAGGATGCCATGTGAAGATGGAGGCAGAGACTGGAGTGGTGTGTCTATAAGCCAAGGATTGCTGGCAACCACCAGAAACTAGAAGAGAGATAAGGAATGATCCTCCTTTAGAGCCTTCAGAGGGAGCATGGCCCTGCTGACACCTTGATTTCAGACTTCCACCCCCAGAACGATGACAGAATAACTTCTTGTTGTTTTAAGTCTCCTGTTCTGGTGGCGTAGTGCCTAAGGCACTTGACTGCTAACCAGAAGTCTGGTGGTTCATAACTACCAGCCACTCCTTGGAAGGAAAACGGGGCAATCTACTTCTGTAGAGATAACGCCTTGGAAACCCAAGGAGAGGTTGCTATGAGTCAGAGACGTCTCGATGGCACATAACAATAACAACAATAGTTTGTGGTATTTTGTTACAGCAGCCCCAGGACACTCATACAATGAGGCTTTGGCAAGGCCACCATTTTCCACATATAAAACAAGGAGGCAGGAACTGGATCCCTAATGGCCCATTCCTCACACCCACCCTTGATGGTCTGGATGAGTATACATCTGGCCAAGGCATTACCTGTGTGGTTTGAAAACTGCACAGAGTTAACAGCGTCGATTTCAAATCCCAGCACCTGCAAGACAGACAGAAAGGGAACCGGATGTAAGAGAGCATGGCCCACACTGCATTTCCCTCCAATGGGCCCTGGAACTGGCTTGAGCAGCAACTTGGGATGGGGACACGTAGGCTGGGCACTCTTGAGGTCATCAGAGAGGATCACAACGCAGTAACAGGAGTTTCTCCTGAGCCAGACTCCATAGTACGGCTCTGAGGCAGCCTGGTGATAGGCCTCACTCTCTCCTTTGTTCAGAAAAGATGCCGGGGAGCAATAAGCTAATAGGGCAACCTGTTAAACCACACGTGAAAGGCACTGTGGGATCATTTCTGAAAGCCATGAAGCCAAAGGTGCTCAGGGAAGCCAAGGAAGCATCTGTCTGTCTGGACACTGATAATGGACACAAGATGGTCTTTGCTGCAAGGACCTTGCCTTTGAGCCCTAGTCCCTGTGAGGAAGCAGCCCAGGGCTCCAGCACATGAACCAGCTAGGTACAAAGAAGGCTCCATGCCTGAGCCTGACTGAGATCCCCCTGCAGACAAGACAACCACAGCCCCACTCACTGCCATAAACTGCCCACCAGGGCGGGTTTGGTCTCACCATAAGCCAGCACCACTGGACTTCACTGGGGTCAGTTCAACCACTGAGGACTCAGCCCCATTAGGTCCTGCAGCCAGGACAGCAAGGAGACACCACTCACCATGTGACCTCCACCGTGTGAGCCCAATGTAGCCCCAGAGAATCTCTCTAGAGAAAGCAAGGTGGGGCCTCTTCTAATACTAGCATGTCAAAGACACAGAGGGGGCTACATCACAAGTTTTAATAAGTTTACCTATAGCATACAGAGAAGTATATTGGAGAAAATTTAAATATATCACTGAGTTAAAAAGCTTTCTTTTCTTTTCTTTCTTTTTTTTTTTTTTTTTAAGTAGGAGCTCTTTTTCAATTAAAGGGAAGAAAAGATCATGTCTATAATGCATGGATATCCACATGAGTAAATGCTGACAACTATCTGCCCCATCACATGGGCTATAGGGATTTTTCTTTTGCCAGCCTTTAAACTTGTTGCCGTCAAGCTGACTCCAACTCTTGGTGACCTGTGTCAGAGCAGAACTGTGCTCCATAGCGATTTTCTCTTCACTGGCTGATTTTTATTATTATTATTATTGTGATTTGGGTGAAGATTTACAGAGCAAATTCACTTTCCATACAGCAGTTCACATATACTTTGTCTCATGTCATTGACCACAGTTTACCACAGTGCAACAGCTCCCCTCCCACTTCCTCCCCATAGTTACCTCTTCCCAGTGTCCATCCCTCCATACACTCCTGCCCCCTGAGGTGTCTCCCTGTGCATAAACAGCCCTTCTTTCTCCCATAATTGTTCTCTCCAAAGAATGTATCTACTTGAGATAAATGTTCAACTCATATGCTTGTATTTTGTTTGGCTGGAAACCACAGTGTGGGTTCAATTCCAGACCTGAAGGGCAGCTAGGGGCCACAGTCTCAGTGGTTCCACCAGGCTCTATTGGACCAGCAAACCTGGTCCCCCCTCCCTTTTTTTTCCTTCTCCAAATGACTTTGAATTTTGTTCCACATTGTTCTCCCTCTCTATCAAGGATCTCCTACACAGATCCCCTTCCAAGTGGATGACAGTGGTAGCCGGGCACCATCTAATTCTTCTGGTCTCATAGTTGTATAGGCTGCAGATCGGATGGTGTACCAGTCGCTAGGACTAATTGTTTCCATGAATTTTGGTTTTCTTCATTCTTCTTTGCTCTGGATGAGGAGAGACCTATCATTGCATCTAGATGGCAGCTTGCTAGCTTTTTAGATCCCAGTCGCTACTTGCCAAAGTAGGAGGTGGAACAATGTTTTGTATAGTATGTTATGTTCACTGGCTGATTTTTGAGAAGCAGATTGCCAGGCACTTCTGAAGTGTCTGGGTGGACTCACTCCTCCAACCTTTCAGTTAGCAGCCAAGCATGCTAACCATTCACATCACCCAGGAATTCCTGTTTTTCTTTATTTTCCTGAGTTTTTTACATTGAACAGGCAGTGACTCACTTAAGCCATTTTGATTTGCAAGACCCATTCCCACTAGAACCATCACAGCTGGACTCAGGACAGCGGCCCTGCATGAGGCTGCCCTCCCCACTACTTGGAATATCCACTCCCTACCCCTCCCTGCTGCCTGAGGAACTCTCCCCAAGCAAAAGCCCTTCTGCAGGGTAAGGGACATTTGGAGGCTCTACTGTGCACCACCATGGAGCAGAAAACCAAAAGCCAAAACCACTGCCATTGAGTCGATTCCTACTCATGGCTACCCTACAGGACAGAGTAGAACTTGCCCATAGAGTTTCCAAGGCTGTAAATCTTTACAGAAGCAGACTGCCTGATCTTTCTCCGATGGTGCAGCTGGTGGGTTCAAACTACTGACCTTTTTTGCTTAGTAGCCGAATGCCTTAACCACTGTGGCACCAAAGCTCCTTCACAGGGCAGAGGTGAAGCAAACTGAAACCAATCCATGTGCAGGTTACAGTGGGTGCGTGATGTCTTCCAGACCCCAGGGGGCTGCTGGCAACTCTTCCTACATCATTAGAAAAAGTAGTGTCCCTCTCGAGAGCAAAGGGAACAGTCCCAGGATCCATCAGTAATAGGGGTGACAACACTCAGGCCTTTTGTACCTTCCCACCCCCACATGAATGCTATGGCCTGCAGATCGAGGCCTCATACAAAGACTCCAACTATAGTCTCTTTGGCATACTTGAGTCCAGGCCAGCTCTCAGCCTGGACCTTAGAGCCACAGGGAAATCTCTCTCTCACACATACACACATACTCTGTCTCTCTCTCTCTCTCTCTCATTCACATACTGTCTCTCACATACACACATACGTACATTCTCTCTCTTTCACTTTCTCTTTCTAGTGGGCTTTGCAGGTGAGGTGGCCCTCATCTTCCCAGAGTCCCCTCTACAGACACTGAAGACTTAACAACTGTACACTGTAAAAACCTATTTCTACAACTCCAGAGTTTGTGAAATCTCATCTTCTGTGTCTCCTCCCTTTCTCTGTTCTTGTAGGCTGGGTTTTGTAAATTCCTTTGCTATTATTTTCTTGGAATTTTGGGGTGGGGAATATCAAAATATCACTTTGCTGTGTTGAACTAGAAATCCTGGCAGTTGACTGGAAAGGGCTCTAACATTCGCTGGCTGCCTCTTCTTCATCACTTGGATTAGGCGTATCTTCTCTGGTCATCTCTCCTGAGATGAGCAGTTGAGCTGGACTCTTCTGAGGCCTGGCTCACCTCTCACGGCTATCTTCTGAGGCTAAATCCCTGCTGAAGGCAGATGGAGGATGAGGACAATCCCCAGTGGTGGGACTGCTATGGACATCTGGAATAAGTCAACTCTCAACAAGCAATGACACCAACTTAAACGTGTGTGAGACAGAAAATGTGTGTGTAAGAGAGACTGCGTGTGAGACAGCGGGAGAATGCATGTATGAGACAAATATCGTGTGTGTGTGTGTGTGTGTGTGTGTGTGTGAGAGAGAGAGAGACAGAGATACAGAGAGATAGAGTATGTGTGAGAGAGAATGTATGTGAGAGAGAGGAAAAGACAAGTGTGTGAGTGAGACAGAAAGATGTATGTGAGAAAGAGAATGTGGGTGTGTGAGAGACCAACAGAGAGTGTGAGTGTGAGGTGTGTGTATATGGGAGAGAGAGAGTCTGTGTGTAAGAGAGAGACAAAGCACTTGCTTTGTATATGTGAAAGAAACAGAGAAACACAGAGAAGTATATGCGCAAGAGATAATCAGAGAGAATATATGAGAGAGCAAGAGTGCGAGAGAGCGACACAGAGATAAGTATATGATATATATATATTGTTGTTGTTATGTGCCATGGAGTAGGACTCGACTCATAGTGACCCCTCCTTGGGTTTCCGAGGCACTATCAACTATGGAAGTACATTGCCCAACCTTCCTTCCGAAGAGTGGCTGGTGGGTTTGAACCACAAGCCTTTTGGTTAGCAGTCAAGTGCCTTAGGCACTATGCTACTAGAACTCCTGATAAATATATAGAGAGAGGGAGAGTGAGAAAACAAATAGAAACCAAAGGGAGTGACTGATCCAGTAGCCACCAGCCCCAGGGGCCAGTGACCCTTAACCCCACCCTGCCACCATTTTGCTCTGCCCATCCCTGCCTTCTCTTATGCACCAGGAATTTCCTAACCCCTCTTTCCTTCTTCATCTAGTGTGATGGTTAAGTTTGCGTGTCATCTTGGCTGGGCCTGGTTGAGTGGCTGGGCAGCTGAATGTAGTTATTCCCCATGGTGAGACTGGTAATTAACTCCATGGTGGACTCTACTGGAACAGCTGAGTAGCTGCTTTGAGTATGTGGTCTGCTTCCCATATATAAGAAACAGCTTTGGGAATGGTCTCTAGTTTATGGCACAATTGAACCCCGCATGTAGCTGTGTTGTTGTTCAGCAGCCTGCCATGCTCTGCCGACCTTGACACTCACAATGGACTTGAATTTTTAATGGCCTGCTTTGTGGTTCGGTAACATTGGAACTGTGCCATTTTATTTGTCAACCTTGGGCTTGTTAGCCTCAGCAGCCAGTAGCTGCCTGAGTGAAGAGATGCCTCTAGCTTCAGTGGGCCAGGAGCAAGAGGCAGAGCTGAAGCCCAAGGTCGAGGGGCTTTCACACAGCCCCTAGAGCCTGGCACTTTGAACTTGGACTTCTAGCCTCCCGAACTGTAAGAAAATAAACTTCTGCTTGTTAAGGCCATCCCATTTGTGGTTATATTCTTGTCAGAGTGGCACCAGGTAACTAGAACACCAAGACAACAAGCAATCATCTTTCAAGTCTCACCTTACTGTTCAAAATGAGGCACAATCTCTTCCTGATGTCATCAATCAGGAGGATGCTTGCCTCTAAGAAGGAGAAAAGGAGCAGTGATTGGGGACGGGGACTTCTGGATGGTCAGGGTCTGTTTCTTCATGTGGGTGATGG